TATGAAATCTCCTTAAATCTCCGCTAACTCCATTGAACATAGGACTGCGGCCAAATCGTGGCGTCAAAGTTCTTCCCTGTCGATGCCGAAGATGGCAGTGGTCAATACCCCTTATGTGAAACGGACTACTTCCGGCGATTAGACCTTCTGTGCCATGAATGTGGTGGTGCTCTGCGTGGCTCGTATATCACCGCCCTGGAACGCAAATATCACATTGAGCACTTCACCTGTTCTGTTTGTCCCACAGTTTTTGGTGCACAAGACTCTTACTACGAGCATGAAGGGAAAGTGTACTGTCACTTTCACTACTCCACACAGTTCGCACAACGATGCCATGGTTGTCACACAGCAATTCTAAAACAGTTCGTGGAGATCTTCCGCAACGGGCAGAATCAGCACTGGCACCCTGAGTGCTACATGATTCACAAGTTCTGGAATGTTCGTTTGGCCCCGACAGGCCAGCCTCTTGAACCGCCGGAAGTCGAGACGGACGCAACGGATGAGGAGCGCAATAGGGTGCGTGAAGAGGAGGACATAATGGAAGAAAAGGTTTATAAAATCTGGAGCATCCTGTCCAGTTTCGAGGAATCATCCGCAGCCTGCATTTCAGATATGCTCCTTCATGTTAGCAACGGCACTTATCTGGATGGTGTCCTTGTCGCCAAGAGGTTCATTGGTCATGTTGATATTCTCTTCTCGGCCATTGATCAGCTTGCGGGACATATCAAGGAACAGGGCATGAAAGGTATGTTGCAATGGCTGATCTCTGCCTCTTTTTAGAAATACCAATAGTTAACATCGTTGACTCCAGATCTGGCTTACGGACGTGAGGCAAAGCTTCTGTGCAAGAAGATTGTTGCGTTCTTCGCGCTACTTTCAAAAACACAAGAAACTGGTGTCCGCAAACTCGGCGTTACCCAGGAGCTCCTGTCTTTGGTCACCGGCCTTGCGCATTACTTGAAGTTGCTTATTCGCATTGGCTTGCAAGGAGCCCTCAAGCTTGAGAGAGAGCAGCAAGCTTCTCAAGGCCTACACCATTTCCTAGACCATCTGGGAGACTTGGAGACACTCAGGCCACCTGAAGAAGAGGAGACGCTTGCTGATCTTATGACCGGTGTCGACACTCTCGCCGACCAGCTTTCGGATTGTTGTACGGCCTGCAAAGAGCCTATCGATGACGAATGCGTTATGCTGGGTGATAGCAGGTGGCATATAAAGCCACCCCATCTCACTTGTGCGTCATGCCAGAAGGAGCTATCTCATACTCTCCAGGATGCACTGTGGAATCCCAAGGAAAAGCGATCCTTTTGTACCGATTGCGTTTCTCAGAACGGACTTATGCACGACGTCCAAGGGGGCTTTACACATATCACGAAGCTCCAACAATTCGTCTTCCTCCTCAAGGTTGCTCTTGCGCGACTTCTTGCTGTTCTCAGAGCGGGTGGAAGTCTTGGTTCTGGTATGTCATCATGATTTTCTTATATCCTCTTCCTCATCATAACATCATCTCTAATCTCATCTGACTCATGTTCCAGGCGACGCTTCTCCCCCACAAGATGGCAACGATAGCGGTCGCATCCCTCCTGGCGGCGAAATGCGTCGATCAGCCACCAGATCCAAATCATACGCAAATGCCACTAGAAACGCTCCTGAGGGATCTTCACTTGAACAAACTGTCGGCGAAATGCGTCGTCTACGATCCATCCGGAATGAGCGTACCCTCTCAACTACTTACAAGAAGGCTAGAGCGTCTCGCATCATCGACGGGCCTGAAGGCCGTAGCGTACGACCTGGTTCATCGGGTGGCGAAGGATCAGACCCAAGGGGTCATGGTTTCCAGATTGTAGAAGAAAGAGATGCCAACGGGGAAACGGTCACCGAGCTGACGTTTGGCAACCAGGATGCATTGACGTTGGACGACATACCCAGAATCGTTGCTGCCGAGCAAGCTAAAGAGCAGCGTCCCAACGCCTACAAACACGCCGGCACCAAGCTGGTTGGTACCACTGAACCACTTCCCAAATACAATTATGGCCATCAGCGTGGCGTATCTGGTGCAGGTCTTGACCAGCACATTATCGAACAAGGTGGCAGGACTAAGAAGTATTTCTCTGAGCTTTCTGCTTTGGAATACTTTATTGTCCGACACGTTGCTGTCTTGTCCATGGAGCCTTTGTTGAGTGAATATTTCACGCTAGAGGAGCTACTCTCCTTGATCGAATCACGAAAGCCTACCATATGGAACATCTTCGGCCGCGCCTTCAATAAAGAAGGCAAGAAGGTTGGGAAGAAGAAGGGCGTGTTCGGGGTAAACTTGGATTTCCTCGTTGAAAGAGAGGGCACTGAATCTAGTCATGGTGTGGGTCCAGGGCAGCTTCGTATTCCCGCCTTGGTCGACGACGCTGTGTCCGCCATGCGCCAAATGGATATGTCCGTGGAAGGTGTCTTCCGAAAGAACGGCAATATCAGGCGCTTGAAGGACATTTCTGAAATGATTGACAACAAATATGAACAGGTGGACATGACGAAGGAGAATCCTGTCCAGATTGCAGCGCTGTTGAAGAAGTTTCTTCGCGAGATGCCTGATCCTCTGCTTACATTCAAGCTCCATCGTCTATTTGTTGTTTCACAAAGTAAGTGACTGACGGTCCTCGTTGATATTGTAGCCTTCATTACTTACCACTGTATCACAGAACTACCCGACCCTGAGAAGCAAAAACGTGTATTGCATCTTACATGCTGCCTTCTTCCCAAGGCTCATCGGGATACTATGGAAGTACTTTTTGCTTTCCTTAACTGGACTTCATCTTTCTCGCACGTCGATGAAGAGTCCGGTAGTAAGATGGACATACACAATCTCGCGACAGTCATGACACCCAATATTCTCTACCCCAATGCGAAAAATAGCACGGTGGATGAGAGTTTCCTGGCAATCGAAGCCGTTAATTGCCTGATTACATACAACGATACCATGTGCGAGGTTTGTTCCCTCCGATCTCGAACGTTGTCTTCATATACTCATGGTTTCTGGACAGATACCCGAAGATCTACAGTCGGTCCTTAGCGACACAACTTTCTTCAAGGAAAACACCGAAGTCACAACAAAGGAAATACTTCGACGCTACGGCGACATCGCGCGCGGAAGCTTTTCTCCCAAGGCAAGCAATGGTGGCGAAACCGTTACAATTACGAACTCGAACCGCGCTGCCAATATCCCTACTTCTGCCCGTATTGAGACAGATCCCTCCCAGGACACGGCATGGCAGATGCAAAGCTCAGTTCGCCATGTCCAAAGCCCCGGTGGTCATCAGCACTCGACCAGTGGTACTCCACAAGCTGGCACAGAACTGGCCCCTACGGCCTCCAATGACTATCGTGAGAGAAGCACTAGTAATGGCAGCCAGCAGAACCCTATGCAAGCCGAAGGACAGTCTCAGCCAATGCCATATAGGGCTCGTCCCGGTGCTGGGCCCATGGGAGTTGCTGGCTAGTTCTTCGCCATTTCATGCTCTTGATGCCAACCCGCCCGTTGCTTCTCTGCATAGTTTCGAAGACATTTACCAATGCATTACCCGCCTCTACATCCTAGTGATAGCTCTTGGCGTATTCTTGGACCGTTCAGCGTTCTTTCGATTTAATAAGGTTGGATGGAGTTTGTTCTCCTTTTGAAATGAGATGATTTCCAGGGTTTAGTTAGATGATCGGCTGACAGCTTCTCCTGATGGATCGAGGCTTTTTTAATTGCTTTTCTGTTGCGCACTGACTGCGTGGAGTGCATTGCATTCGGTTGTGAGTCTCGACATGATTCACTCACTGCCGCCTATAATTTGGATTTCAACCGCGCGCAAGTGGCCACAGGAGCCTCTGCCCGTTCGGGTTGGCAATTTCTGGGATCTGGGTGTTGTTTTCGATTCCTACTTTCCTGGCATTCTACTTGCATTAACAGTTAAGACCCAGCGTGGGCATTCTCTCCTGGCATCTTTCTTTCCTTTGCTCTTTGTTGTTCCTTACATCACTTGCGTCTTCCTGGCGTTGCGCCTCTCTTAACTTGCTACCGATCGAGATGTGAGACTATCGAGATCCTCTGTTTACCCTTGATTTCATTTGTCAGCCAGTCTGATGACTGCGAAGATACCTGTGCTGAGTCATACATTCAGTTCGTTTCTCTTTATTTTTTTCCTTCTTGCTTCACTTCTTCTACCCCCCCTATTTACATTCTACCCATACGACTTAAACTTTTTTCTTTTTCTTTCTTTTTTTTTTTTCTTTTCTTCTGATATCCCGAATTGTTCGTGACTGGTTCTATCACATCCATGTCTTCATGTGATGCTGTTTTCCTCGAGAACAGGAGGTGTAATTTACATACAATTGTGAAAGGAATGCCATAGTGCCAACTCTGTTAAGGTGCGCAAAGTTGTGTGCTGCTTGCTACTTGCTCCTTGTAAGCGTCTATGTTCGAGAAACAATGTAATCTGTATCTTGAAAGTGAGACCTTTGAAACTGTTGCTCCAATTAGTAGTTGTTGGTCTTTATTGCTGGCTAGTAACAATCAATCATGATCATGACGGTCTACGCATAGTACCCTTTAGTAACATTGGAACTGTTCATATGGAGAACCTTATCTGCAATTGCTCCCAATTCTATTACACTAGTTTGGTTATCAATGATAGTATGTAGTACTGCTACTATAGCCCGTGAAGGCTGCTTTGCTCTGCCTTCCATAGTTACGAGCAAGATCAATGAAGATGGCAATGTTTCGAATACTCGAAAGAAAGGCCACTTGAATTCGGTAATAAAGAATAAGCGGCAGAATCAAGAAAGAGACACAGAATCACAAAAAAGGCAGGACAAAACTCCAATTGTACACCAGTTATCCCTTCCATATTATGATCCCGTCCAGAGATAATACACCCCTTTACTCCATGTCCCTCCAACTAAGGCAATGAATGAAACAAAACATGCTAACTACAAATAATTGGTTTAAGTTGAGGATACAGCGCTTATGCGCGTTTCCGAAGGACTCTACGAGCTGCAGTTGGAGCTGCTTCACCACCAGCAGGAGTGGGAGCTCTCTTGCTGGTAGCGGAGGTTGTGTTTCTCTTCGCGGTGGCGGAAGTTGCTTGGCTCCGGGCGACTGTTGTCTTCTTCGTGGTAGCGCTTGAAGTCGATGCCGTCGTTGCCTTCCGCACACCGGCACCTGTTCTTGTTGGCTTGGCCACGGTTGTTCCGGAGGATGCGGACGATGACACACTGCCTCTGCGTTCGAGCTGGCGAGTTGCTGGCCTTGGCAGTGGTGAGCGCGTAGTTTTGCTAGTAGCTGTGGCAGCTCGGCTGGCGGGTCTCTTGGCCTGTGATGGGGGCCTGTTGTCCTTGATCGAGGTGGATGTATTCTTGACTGGCCGGATGCGAGTGTTGTCTCCCAGTGCGGGAATGCTAGCTGATGTGGATTTGAGTGGGCTGATGGGTTTCAGAGGTGACATGGGTCTTGCAAGGTAGGAAGAGTTCGTGGGCTTCTCGGGTGAGGCGCGTAGCGGCGAGTGTGGATATGTTCTGGAGTTGGACGTCTTGGGAGAGAGAATTCTGTAGTCTGCACCCCTCATCTCCTGGGAAACAACACGCGAAGTACCAGCAGCGGCACCAGGTCCACGTCTCTTGGGGTTCTTGAGGACATCGAGCTGTTCGCCAGCTGCAGGGGCGTTTTCCTTGTCGGAATAGATTTCTCCGTGGCTGGAGGGTCGAGTCAGCTAGGCTCAACAATACACAGTTGTACATGTTAGGCTGTACCTTTGCTTCTTGACTCTGCGGGCACTGGGGCTAGCAGCAGAGGCCTTGCGCACATTGGGGCTAACAGAAACGGTCCTAAAACTCCTTGACGCCTTGGCTGGGCTGAGGAGTTTCCGTGGAGAGAGATTCGCTTGTTGGGCCCGGATAGAGGCCATGTGTTTCTCCAGAAGCTCACCCATTGTCGCCTTACGAAGGGCAACGGGAATACGATTCACGCGTCTTTCAATCCGTGCTCGAAGGTCGTTTGCTTGGAGAGCATACTGTGCGCGAAGTTTGCGGGCGCGCTCGGTGACTGTGGCCATGTTAGTGGGATTTCAATGTAAGCGAGGTATCGAGAGAGCGCACGTTCGAGCTGCAAGTTGTCAATTAAAGCTTGCTTTTGTCTGCGGGTAATTCGAAGCTTCTTCCGAGGAGGGCTGTTCTCAGGTGTCCTTGCTTCGTCATTGTGGGACGCGTCTTCGGGAGACTTGCGTTTGGCAGAGAGTGAAGTCATTGGGCGCAATCGTGAGGAGTCGAGGTGGGTGGTGAGCAACAGCGATAAAAGGAGTAATAGTTGAGCTGGATTGCGTAGAATATGTTGTGTGGAGGAGTTGGGGCGGAAGGGATGGGAGTCGAGAGATGGAGGGGAGCGCGTTGGAGTGAGTTCTGGAGGAAAGCGGATGGCGGAGAGGATAAACAAGCGCTGACTTAATTCGTGGTTAGCTCCGATCGGGACGGTGTGACATCTGCGTCCTCAGCAGCAGCAGCTCCATCATCATCCCTCCTCCGCCAACCTCCATCATCCACTTCCCCCCATCGCTTTCCTTACTCCCACGCTCCGAGCATATACTTCTCAGAAATTCTTGCTTCTTTCCAAATTTGATTGATCATACACATACATTTCTAGCATCGACCCCGCCAGTCTCCTTCCAAGATGTCGCTCGAAGCTACCATGATCATGTCCGTTTAGCCACCTTCATCCAAGCTCTGTGCGCACCTACTAACGCCATCTACAGTGTCGACAATAGCGAAAGCAGCAGAAATGGCGATTATACGTAAGTTGCCTGTTCTGAGCTACTCAGAATCGACCGCCTGGTTCCGTTTCTAACAGCTACCAGCTCGACACGATGGCAAGCTCAGATCGACGCCGTGAGCGTCATTCACACCACTAAGATGCGCGTGCACCCTCAGTCTGCTGTCGGCCTTATGAGCATGGGTGGAAAGGGTCCCGAGGTCCTTTCGACATTTACCACCGACTTTGGTGGTATCTTGGCCGGTCTGCATCGCACGAAGATCCATGGCACTGCCCACCTTAGCTCCAGTATACAAGTTGCCGGTGTATGTTTTCAAACTACTCATCATCTCTCTCTTTAGATACTGTACTATCCGTGAGATTGATTGCTAACCTGGTGATTGGTGCAGCTTGCCCTCAAACACCGCTCCGAGAAGTCCCAGAGACAGCGCATCATCGTGTTCTCCTGCTCTCCCATCGAAGAAGACGAGAAGACATTAGTGAAGCTGGCCAAGAAGATGAAGAAGAACAATGTGTCCATCGATGTGATTGCCTTCGGAGATCTGGAGTCCGATCAGACCAAGAAACTGGAGGCATTCGTCGAGAACGTCAAGGGTGGCGACGGCTCTAACCTCGCCATCATTCCCCCGGGCCCCAACTTGCTGAGTGAGGAGCTTCAGGTCACTCCCATCCTCGGTGGGGACAGTTCCGGTGCCGATGGTGCAGGTCCTGAAGGTGGTGATGGTGGCTTTGGATTCGAGGATGCGGCTGAGAACGACCCCGAACTGGCATTCGCCCTCCGTCTATCTCTGGAAGAGGAGAAGAACCGGCAAGAAAAGGAGAAGCGGGACCGGGAGGAGCAAGAGCGCAAGGCCAACTTGGACAACATTCCTGAGGAGGGCTCCAGCGGGAGCAAAGACAAGAAAGAGGATGGTGACAAGATGGACACTGCTTAATGTGGAGACCAGAACAACCTCCTGGATGATTTGATGCATACCCGGCGTTTTTAATGTACTTTCGTTTTCTTGCTGTAATTGTAGAAAGCGGTTGGTTCTCCGGCAACTCGCTTTTGAAACGGATGCGATCTAATATGCAGATCTATCGCCATCGTAACTTGTTGTTGTTCCATGATACAAACTATGACGCCCAGATATCAAACATGTCCACGCATGCAACCGCAAAACCAAGAGCAAAATTATAAAAACAAAGAAAAGACGTCGATCACAACCCCACCACATCGAATCTCAATATAATAAAACCCACCTAGCCCATCCCATCCCATCAATCAAGTCCTCCCCCTCAACCAACCCTGCAAATTCCGATCAAACGCCTCACACCTCACGGGCATTTCCAACTGATAGAAAGGATTTTTCATAACGAAGTCCGCATACAGCTCATATATCTTCTTCATAACCACCTCGATATTTGCCATCAGCGGATCCGTAAACAAGAGGAACTTGGTGCCCGTCAACGTCTGGAAACACGTTAATCGGAACTTGTCCGTTTCTAGACACTCGAGACCCGTCGCGGGTACTCCGGGGTTCGGGTACGAGTATGAAGCTGTAGAAGAGGTAGGGGTTGATGATGTGGCGGAAGGAGAAACGACATTGTTGGGAGAGGGTGTGGTCGCGGTGGTGGGTGTTGTTGCGAGTGCTGCGGCGGGGGCGAGGGGGAGCTTGGGGGTGATGGAGCGGGTGATGGCGTGGACACTGTACAATCAATGAGAAGAGATGATTAGTAGGCTATTCTTATGAATACACATGTAGTAGGGAGGCTGTAGCTGTTGGATTGATTGGTGTGTTCGTACCCGTGAAACGTGCCCGCCAGGACGAGGTAGTCGTTTGTCGAGAGCTTGCGCAGTCCTGGTTGGAATTCGCGCTGGTAGACTAGCCCACCGGCTTTATTGATTATTATAAGGGAGAATACGGCCCTAGATGGGAATTGTTAGGAGTTGGGGTTTTGCTGGAGGGGGTTTTTGGTTGCGACGTACATTGCGGAGGAGGGGGCTCGTGATGGTGATTATAGGTGTTGGGGTTGGACAGTGATATTGTTGTCCTTCTGAGCAGAGGTCAGGATGTTGGCGCATGCAGCATCACTTGGATTTGCTTGTTGTGGAGAGGAATGGTGATGGTAGAGGCGGATTGTTTGTGTGTTTGCGCATTCACATCGTAATTGTTGTTGGTGTCATCATAGCATGGGCGTCTTTGCCGGAGACATTGCGGAGTGCGCTCGCTGCTTGTTGGTAAGGTTGTCTATACTGCACCTGGCTGCTCAGGGTGGTTGTGTGTTCACCGCCCTGAGGTTGGGGGTGCCGGCCAATAGTGTGCTTCTGTTCATACATTGTTGTCGAGTTTTAGATGGCGGCATTGTTCTCGCTGCTAAACGAGGGAGAAAGACATTCTGGAGTTACATTGCTCGTGAGCTTGTTTTCTAGGTGTTATGGCTATAATAGGTTAACTTTACTTCTACTTTAAAAATCGAGAAAATGTGCCAGTAATATCAACTCGAATTGCAAGATCAACCTGCTATCTTAACGGATGATATCAAGCTTCAAAAACGACGCAGCATACAAAAACTGTCATACATGCCACTAAATCTTAACGCTCATTATCATAATAACCAGTATCAAATTCCCTCCCCAAATCCAGACCATTACCCCCTCAAGGAGCCGCCACAACAGTAGAGACCTCCACCATATTCTGCAGTCCTAATTAGCCAACATCCACAACCCAAGCAGCGCAACAACACAAGACATGGATCCAACTTACCGGTCTCCTCTCAACAATATGCTCCGACTGCACCGACTTCGTCACATACTTCACGGATCCCTCCCCACCTCGTCCCCCAGCCCTCAAATACTCCAAATAATCCGGCGCTCCCGGAATATCCGTATTATCAGCAATAACACTCGATCCGACTCTGAAGAGACCCAGATCCTCACACAGCTGCAAATCACTCAGATAAAACTTCTCCCAGTGGTCAAAGAAAGCCATATCAACTCCTCCCTTCGCAATCTTGCCTTCCTCAACCAACTTCGCCAATGACTCCGACGCAGGCCCCACCAGCACATGCACAATGTCCTCGACGCCCGCCACGCGGATTATGTCCCTCGCTACGCTTGCCACCTCCTCGCTGACCTCGAAGGTGTAGACGTGTAGCCCCTCGGCGAAGGGACCGTGCAGGTCGCGGAGAATGGCGGCCCACGCGACGGCGGAGCACCCGATATAGGTGCCAAATTCGATCACAACTTTGGGTGGGGTGTCCATCGAGCTAAGGGCTTCTTTGGCGACGTTGAGCTTGGCTTGTTTGAAGTTCATGAGACGTGCGGTGCGGCTGAAGAGGTCGAGGGCTTGGTATACGGCCCAGGGGTTGTTGTTTAGGGCATCGCTGGGCTGGGACAGGATGTAGTCCCGGGCCAATTGGGCGTTGGTTTGAAGGATCTGGGGTAGATAGGTATTAGCTTTGATGTAAGTGTAGAAGGCCTGAGGCTGGTTTTGCTTGTTGTCGAAGACTTACGGTGTCTTGGGAGGCCATGGTTGTGTTTGAGGAAGCGGTAGGCTGTAGTTTGGTTGTTCAAGGTAGGATGTTATAGTAGTAGATGAATGTCAAGTGTTGTGAAAGTAACTTCTGGGTCAGGGTATGAGAATAGATGTAACTGTTTGGAGTAGGAGATCTTCAAATGAAACACCTATGTCTGTTGATTTTGAGCATCTCGAGGACCGGTGCTGGCAGTGGGTATTTATACCATAATGCTGCTACGTTCAACGTAGAGAACCACTATTTCCTCAGTAGGAGTGAGTCCACTTTACCATCTCTACATTGCTGCGCCACTACATCTCCGATTTTATCTCCGATTGTATCATCGCCTCGGAGGGGTTCAAGACTTTTGTGGATACCATCGGTCAGTAGATATAGCCATAGGGCTGGCTGGTCGGCTGAACGCCTCAGGCCGAGCATTTGTCGAGCCGAAGCCTAATCTGTAAGTGGTATTTAACGCCGAGCTTCCGGTCTCAAACGCCCGTTACGGATATGAACGCCGAGTAACTTGAAGCCGAGGTGGGCCATCAGCCCCGCCAGCAGTTGAGGATTCAACCGCATCAGACTTTTGGCTTGACATGAATATGGGTCATTCGCGTGTATGTGCTGTTCGGATGATATCATATCTCAGTGCTATTCCCTAATTCATTGTTTTGTAGTATTCGCGCTGAGCTAGGCAAGAGTCCGGGTCATCGATGTTCAGAGGCCATGTCCGCGGAGCCGACTTCGGGAAATTCAGTCAGGCAAGTTCCAATTTGATGTAGGTGGTGTCATGATCAAGCAGCTTTGGGAGGGTTTGTGAGACTTTCCTCATCATACTCATATCGTGACTCCAAATCCTATATGAAAAAATCAGCATACGAGCCCGCAAGCTAGTGATACTAAACTTACCCAATACTTGTTGAACCCAACACCCTCACAGACATCAGAGTACCCAAGTATCATAGGTGGAGCCCCAGTCATTAGACTGCGCTTTAGTCCATCCAAAGCCTCCCGAATGCTCTTGAGCCTTGCAGCTACCAGCGTCCAGGAGTATGCGACAGCTGCAAACCCCAACTCTGCTAGCTCCTTAGCAGATAAGTTCTCTGACTTTCCGCCCTCAATAATATTAGCAAGCAAAGGGATATCCAGTTCCTCTGCGCACTTCCTCATAGCTTCTTTGTCAGGTAACGCCTCAACAAAGACGCCATCTGCTCCCAAGCGCTTGAACTCTTTCGCCCGAGTCATCGCTTCGTCCCACCCGTGGATCAATGAATCCGTCCTTGCCAAGATAAAAATATCCCGTCCCTGATTACGTGCATCAACAGCAGCCTGTATCCTCGCGTAGGCTTCGCCTCGAGATACAACCGATTTACCCTTTGTGTGGCCGCATCCTGTACACAGCTTCCGTTAGTCTGACCCCGCTTATCATGAAGACGCATCTCCAAATAACCAATACATACTCTTCGGCCATGTCTGATCCTCGATCATCACGCCCGCTGCACCCGCCGCAGCAAAACACTCCACAGTGCGTCGCACATTCATAGGACTCCCGTACCCGGTATCTCCATCCACCATAATAGGTATACTAGTCACACGAACTATTTCCTGGATTCGGGCGGACATTTCTCCCATGGCGATGTACCCGGTATCCGGGAGACCATGAGAGGCGGCCACTGCGAATCCGGAAATGAATATCATAGGGAAGCCAGCTTCCTCTATCAGTCGCGCAGAAAGGCCGTCGTAGCCACAGGGGTGGGCTATGATTTTGGTAGGATCTCGGTGAGCTTCTAGCCACATTGTACGTAGACGAGAGGTCTGTGCAGATGGAATATTGCCGCGGACATTCTTGAGTGTCAATGTGGTGGTATTATTATGTGTTTCGATGTGATCGGAGGTGTCGAATTGGAACGGGTATGGAGTGGGGTTTTGCGAAGCCATGTTGAAATAGAGATTGAGTTAGGCTGCTTGAAGGGCCTTCAGGATCTAATGTGTGCTAAGAGGGATAATCTTCACGGATAGTATTATTTGCATTTACTGCAGAATGTTGGTTAAGTGGTGGCCGAGTAGTAATGTGCAAGTAGATAGCCGGGAGATTGGAACCCCGCGTTGACTTGGAAATCCCCGCACGCGTCATAGCCTGCCCGTCGGAGCATTCGATGGCTGGTTTCTGCCAACAGTCAACACGAGGAATATAGTAGCCAGTCTTCAACACATGGATATGGCAGTAACGACACTGGTCTGGACTGACACTGATGAAATTTCCATGGAATTATTCTCCTTCGTATCACGAATACGCTCTTACAATCTATTAGCGAGACTATTGTCTCATCCCAATGTCCCAAAGCAAGATGATCAGCCAGGGTTTGACAAGCAATGATGGGCTAGCTACACTGCCGCCACAATAAAACTTCTATGACTCCTGGTGTCTAGGCAACAATCCCATCCTATCTGTTTTCGGTACAACTATCTGCTCCTCTGGAAGAAGATGCCTAAGCCCTGTTGGTTCCAACTGCATATTCAATGGGTGTCAGAAATATATTGGCCACCGCTGCGCCCCAGAATAGCAATGGGGAAGATCGGCATTGTTCTCGACACGAGTCTATAAATCTGTGACATCACTATCATCGCGCTGCTCGGTACCAGTCCCAAAGAAGTCCTGGGCGTCTAAACAAGAGCATGGAGTATACACCCAGCGAGGGCCGAAAATAGAAATGAAAAAGTACACAAAGAAAGAAGGACACTCCTTACAGGAGAAGGATGAAGCGCGCGCGTCAGACTGGACAACTGTTTACGTACTGCGAGCCAACCCGGATACAATCCGACCACATGGCATGAGGATTCCAGAACCCTGTTCAGCTGTTATCAAAACAAGAGGGAACGCAAGGAAGCAAACAAATTCCACGAGCGACTCAATATGCATTACGACCTGATTACATACACTAGTCTCACGCTAGAACGGTCCCCGTTTATTCCAACTTACAGATTACAACGGAAAACAGTCAATTGATGCTCCCATCCAGTCCAGATGAAGGTGCATGCAGCTGACCCGCCGATCTGTATGCGAACTAAAATCTCACCCACCAGATAGTCCCCAGCTGAATTCTGATACACTAGTCTAGCTCGGCCGGCCGGCGGATAGGTTCTGGGCGGCCGATACATACTTTTAGACGCACAGAGGGAGGTCCACTCAGATACGTACGTGTTTGTAAGTGGATATTCTGTTTGCCGATCAATCTCGGTGATTTTCAAACTGTGTCCGGAGTACGACCAGGACTAACGCATTGCATTACACTATCGGGCGCATCTCTAGAACCGGTATACATGCCTACCGAGCATATCAGGAATGCGCCATGGGCCTGCACCATCGACGACCAAAAGCCACGAAGGTGTCAGCATGTATCTAGTACGAACTATCGTTTCAGGTAGTAGGCCCGTGGCATGATCCTGTGTACCCGTCGATCTGGGATTCAAGGAATTGGACTAGACTAGAAGGAAAGAAGGAAGGAAGAGAGAAAGGGGTCAGCTACGTATGTCAGTCAGTTCAGTACTATACTGATCGGATGGGCAACTCTTGTTATGGGGCGCCGGGGGTACCCGTGCCACGTGGAACGTTTCACTCCCTTTCGGGGACCATATTCCTTGTGGATTTGCAGTTATCTGGGATTGGGGGCTATGCTGACATGCACCGGACGATGCTAGTTTAGTGTCTGGGAATGATTGGTGAGGGGGTCTCTGGAAATGTGAGGCGAGCCGAATCGGTTGGCCGATCTAAGCGTTGCTGCGGCTGAGGGTAAATTACTCACTTCTGTGTTCATCTGCGGAGTACCAGTCGAGTATTATCTTATGGGAGGAGGTTTACTCTCTGGGTACTAAGTACCAAATACTAGTATCTTATGCAGTATAGTGGTAGTAATGAATATGTATCATCGCATTCTCTATTCGTCATGAACTCCTCATGCTAGAATAATGCCGAAAACCAAAACCATGTAGCTCAGCAGTCCCTTGCTCCTTTCTCTCGATATGTATGGGGTATTGTGCAAAACCAGGGGAAACCTCAAAAGGGTCCAATAAACATGACATAAACATAGTGAATACAGGATATCAGTCATCAATCATCATCTCAGTCAGTCCGCGCACATAGATGTGCAAAATCCATAACCAGTCCGAGAGTATTAAAAGGAAGTAGCAGAATAAAACAAAGGAAATAGAAACGAAATAAAGAAGAAGCCCAGAACTAGAAATCAAAAGGCTAGAGAAGAGAAAGAGGAAGGCGGGGAGGGGCAGCAGTTGGATACTTTAGGAGGAAGCAGTAGTAGCCTTCACTTCAACTTCACTTCTCGCAAAGGCCGACCAACTTCCACTGCCCATCCACTTGCCGAATGATGTCTTCTTCAATTGCCCATTGGCGCAAGAAAGTATCCTCGGCTTCATATTGCGCGTCACCTTTCTCGTAGTGACGGCCAACATGCTCCATTCGATCATTCCATTCGAGGAAATGCTGTCCACAGAAGCCACAGGTGCTCTGGGTAGGTGGTTTGCGTTGCTCATGCCAGCAGCGAGCCCGAACAGCTTCAAGGGTCAGCTCGAAATCATCGCGCTCTTTCTCAGTTTCAGGCTTTTTGCTGTTGCGCCCAACCCAGGGAGCGTGCATGCGTCGCTGGTGTTGAGTGAAGAGATCCTTTCGGTTGAAGTCGTTAACGAGATGTGTCTCGTTAAAAGAGGCACAACTGTTGTTCGCGTCCTGACCCTTATTCTTGCTGAGGTTGTCCAGACTGCAGCGTCCGACATCACAACGGTAGAATCCAGGTTGGATGTGCTGCGAGGTCACATGGCGCTTCCACTCGTTCTTCGAAACGAAGGTACTCTGGCATCCATAGTGGGAGAAACTGCAGATGAAAACCCGGCTGGTCTTTGTACCATCCTTCTTACCGCTGGTTTTGGTAGAGGCCCGAGCTGCGGAGGTAGGTCTTGCTTTGGTGGACGTTTTGCGAGGTCGCTTCTTGCTGATGCGGCCAGTGTTCGTGCTAGATAGCTTCGGCGCCTTGAACTGATTGCCGGAAGAGCTGCAGGCTTCTTGCTGAATCGTGGTCTCTGCGTATTGGCAACTCTTGATGTCACAGGAAGTGTCAAATTCATCGTGTTGGGGAGGGCCGTTATAGCAAAAGGTTCCGCCCATAACATGCTCCGAGTCTGTCTCAAGTTTGACGATAGGATCGGGGTCGGGATATACGTGGGAAGGCGCCAGCAGACTGTCAACGTCTGTTAGGGCAGATGGGGAAGAACAAGATCCGAACCCCAGTGGCGGGAGTGCGACTTCATCGCAGGTGTATGGAGGAGACATATAGCATCCCATGCTGAACCAACTCGGACTTCCGGTGGCGAGACTGTCTTTTGTTTCTGGGCTAGAGACGAGTTCATTGCTCCAAGGTGAGCCGAAATCAGAAGAAGCAGCAGTCAATGAGTCGGTGCTGTGAGGTAAGACCGGCTCGTTTGACCACGACATGGATGGGGCGATGTAAGGGTTCTTCATAGGTACGTCGACAGGAGAGAGATGGAACTGGAAGCTTGAAGGGCGTTGGATAGTCGTGGGGTCCGAATAAGGCTCGTACTGACAGGGAAACAGTTCATAATCCTGGGCCAGATCGTCCTTGGAGGATGTATGCGGGAGGTCTGAGAAGGGTTGGAAGTGGGCCATTATGTATAAGCTGCGATGTTGTGCTTGCTTTCCAAGGATCCAAAGCTATGCCAGCTGAAAAGTCGCTGCTTTATAGCAACAGAAACCAGAAGCAGTACCTCTTCAGCTGGGGGTGCCATGGTTATGTACTGGCCTACGAGGGCGGTACACGCGATGGGTCACTGCGAACCGAGAGGAGCGTGGAGTCAAGGCCATTGTTGAGCCGCATCGACTGAACAGACTGAGCCATTATTTGTCGAGAGCATCAGGTTGGAGTGCACCTTGGGAAGCCGGAGTAGTGCGCCCCTGCAGCGACGGCCGACAATCTTCTAGGCCGGGCGTCTGGATGTCAACCTACTCGAATCGGCCAGTCATATTTCGCGATTTTGGGAGAGGTCCCCCCTTTTTGGTTTTTTTTTTTTTTTTGGAAATCTCTTTTTCCAAATTTCTGCATTTTATTTTACGATCCTTGATGCAATTTAATTTTCCTTACTTTCCAGGTGGGTATCGATTCCGCCGTGGAAGGTTTGAATGGCATCGTCGTAAGACGGCGTCTCTGGGCTGCAAGGATGGTAGCCCTCGTGTTTGGGGATTGACAGAACGGCGGCATCCACCAGAGGAAATGATCGATCTGGGCCAAAGGTTGGGCCTGTCTCCAGGCCTCTCCGACCGTCCGACTCCCCGAGAGAGCCGCAAAGACGGTGAGTGCGCCAACATTACATTCGCGCTTGAAAATTGTCTTTTTGCCAGTCTCCGGCGTCAGACTATTTCCACACCCTCGTGGCCTTCGAGCCCAATTTCACGCATCCACATACCATCGTCTGATTGGCCTTGCTGCCCTCTTGTCTCTTGCCCAACACACCCAGAGAAGGGCCGTTCAGCCTCAATGATAGGCAGTGTTGGAGTTAATACTGCATTAGTCGGGCAACGGAGGGAACCACTAACCACCACAGGGTTTAGGGGGCCAAACTAAATACGGGGCCGCCGCGGGTCAACTTAGCGAGGCGTTATCATCGAGCTCGTCTGATTGTGAACCAACATTCCGAGTCATTCGCTGCATCGTCATCCTCGCTCTAATTCGGTGTCGTGGTGCAAGGATTCTCAATCAGGTAATGGTCGACGATTAGCGGAATCCTGATCTGTCCATAGTTGGTTGCCTCTTGCCCAGTTGTTGACCTTTTCCAGGGCACGGTTTGGCCCTGTCGCCCTTGCCCGCACGGCACTAAGCCCGCGCCACGCTGTTCCCCGACACACTTCTGGAATGGTGCACCGAGAACTCAGGAAAAATGACGATGAGTCTTAACTGTTAACTGCTGATCGTGGAAGACACCTGCGGATAGCCCCTGGGGTGCCACCCGCCCAGGATAGCCGCTTAGAGTCTGACAGCTCATACCGTTAGTAGTATCTGGTGGTGTCTCTCGTTAGCACCTTGGTCATCCTCCGAGCTGGGATTCGTTATCGTCGCTTTGATGGTAACGTATCACTGAAAGAGTGTCGACCCACTTCCTACTACCCCTTTCCTGTCCATTATCTGCTGGACTACGGTCGTTAATGGGGATGTACGGACTACGGAGCAATGTGCATCTTGTGGACGCAGCTGCTTGAGTCCACTTAGTGCCTATTTTTGGGGGCCGAAAAAAAATCTACTATGACACCGCTCGATGATCATGGGAGTACTTAATCTCTCATAGGACAGTTCGTTAGGGACGAAATTAAACATCGACGATTATGGATACACTACTTTGGTACTACGGGGTAGCGTTTGATCGAGTCATAGGCCGATCTTGTGATGAGCACCAATTACTGGCCAAGGCACAGTTGACTAAACAAGTTAACAATGCCATGTCGCATCGGACTTGATCCTGGCGATTAGTTCGAAAGTCGTTTGCTGTCATCCCCGTCAAAACTCTCAGACCAGCGTATCAGGCCTGGACAAAGTCGCGCTACACTCTGGCATGCTGGACAACCAACATCGGACACACACACCAAGCGGGATATTTGTGTGGCTGAGGCGCGTTGGCTGTGCCTCGAATCTGCCTTACTCCGAAGAATTGATTCGACGTCCGCCCATCTGCCATGAAGTCTTGCAAGGCTTCTTTCCATCGAACCCCGGTTTCCGACAGCATTGCCAAGTGGTCAAGACTTCTCTACCCTCCCGCTCATGGGCATCGACGATGATAACATCGATTCTTTCGATGACCAGTCTTCTACTAATGCGGAAGGGGTAACTAGTGCGGGCGAATCCCCGACCATGACTGCAGCTCCCTCGCAGCTAGATAGCAAGTGTGGTCGGAAGCTTCCGGGAAATTACTCCAGAGAGCCACATGATCGCGCGGTTAACTCCAGAAGTCAATGGAGTACGTAGTAGTTACTCTGACTGTAACTCTTACTCAATTGAGCGGACTAAACTAATTAACTAACAACCACAACTAATCCACTCTGACTCCGACACTGAGCGACACGGATGAACATCCCTGCTCCTGGGAAAGCTCAATCAGTAACAATCCCGTAAGGTAATGTATCGCCCGGAATCTTTGCCTGGTGCGACGGTAATGTTATGCATTTCAACCATTCCCCGGGGAGGCGCTCTTTTTTTTACTTCCCTCTCTTGCCCAACCGGGAATATCCCACCATCGATCTATCAAGTTTATTCATTCAGCGCGCCCGGGCGAACATCCTTCCCATGATATGTTTTGTTTTGGTCTGGTCTGGCCTGGTCTCGGTCTGCATCTCACTCAACGCCCACACCCGCCCGGGCTGCGCTCTGCGCTGCAGGCGCGGGCCCTCGGCTCGCCGCATGCGTGTGCACCACAGCCCCAGTGACGCCCTGGTGCCCTCACATGTATCATGCGGGAATATCTATGTACTCTGCTCTGTACAATTGAATGACATCATGGGCATGGCAAAGCCACAATGTAGAGTTTTGTGCGATGGTGCACAATGTGCCTTGTTGGGGTATTGTTGTATTGCTTGCGTCTAGACTCTGGTGGATGTTACCCTGGGAGTTATCTATATGTGTAAGAGTGTGAAAGTATGAGAATATGATAGTGTGGTATTCGTACTACCTCGTAGATAACATAGTCTGAAGATTACCGATGACTTTCCGACATTTGAAGGAGCTAAGACTAGTAACCATGCAAGCAAAATACCCCATATCTCCTCTACTGCATAGTAAGATGATCTAGCTCTGCCATACTAAGCCTGACTTCTTTGTCCCCTGAGATCTTAGACCCTTATTTCCTCTCCCTCCAGTAGCCTACTCGTCCTTCTCCTTAACCGACTTCTTCTTCGGCACGCGCACCAGCCAGTACAAGAAAACTGCTGCGATGGCGTTAAACACAATGAACGCGAAGAGAATACCCACATTACGCCACCGGTCCGAGTAGCTCATGCTCAGCGCGCTTAGATACTGGTCGGTCTTCGAGATCGAACACACGAGGCATTCGGTGTTGTCTTCGGGATTGAGCAGAGTCGCTTGGTAATTACGAACGTAGGTATCAAGATAACTGGAGCAATTCTGTCCCGTTGGAGGTGGGATATGCAGCAGCTCTATATCGGAGCATTCGACGTCGTTTCCTGCGATGCCTACACTCAAGACAGAGGATACCAGGTAGGTGAAGGGTGAGACCCGGTACATGAAGATCCAGAAGCGAGGAAGGGCAGATGGGGTGGCCAGGACGCTAGATTCACAATGGTCAGTCTTCCTCACAGACAAACGATGCAGTATGACTTACCCGTTAAAGATCAGGCAGAACGAGAACAGAAGTTGGGCGACGTTGCTACCTGTATCCGGTTGCTCGATGCCGGCGATAACCATGGAACTGAATGTTGAGGTGAACACCATGAAGATCAGGACGAGAAGAAACATGGTTCCACCTCTTTCGGTGACCGAGTCCGTTGGAATGGCGTTGCGGTATAGGCCAATTGGATAGTACCAGCAGAAGTACGCCGGAACTGCCATCAGTATGTTCCAGGGCAACTCAACCAGAATACTGGCTAGCATGAACGCTACCCAAGAATATGTTTTGGAAGGCCTTTCGCGAACTTCATACAAAGCTCGCTGCCTTGCGAAATATGGCATCATCTGTTGCACCAAGTTGGGAAAGATGACCAATAGCATGAAAATAGCGAACATCTCGTTCTGCAATCCTTGAAGACTGTTCGGCTCTCGCCAAAACGTAAAGCCAATAAAGATCGGCTATGGTGACCTGTTAGCTCCGCATACCGTGAGGACACGAGATACTTACTGGGATAACGCACATGGCAGCCTTGGAGTAGATGTATGAAGGACTACGCCAATATTGTTGGAACATCCGCTGCAGGCAAAGGACAAACTGCGCCCAAAGAGGCATGGCAAACGCTCCATATCCCACCATTCGAGGAGGGGGTGGCCGTTGCAGTAGTTCCTGCTTCATCTCGGCAAGGTCTAGGCGTACCTGAGCGCGCTCAGGACTTTGATTCCACACCTCCGTCCAATCGCGGTCAGCATGGGATCCTGGAGCAGCTCCGATTACTTCCAACATCCACTCGGCAGGGTTAGCGTTGGGCGGACATTTCACAGAGCCCTTCGCCTCGAAGTACCTTATCAAGGTCTCCATATTCTGGCCAAGCTCTCCAAAGTACACCGTCTTACCACCTTTTGCTAGAAACAACAGCCGATCAAACTGCTGCATGAGGATCGCTGATGGTTGATGAATGGTACATAAAATCGCTTGCCCGTGATCTGCTAGCTTTCGCATGAGGGAGCAGATAGACCATGCAGTTTGACTGTCAAGTCCCGAGGTGGGCTCATCAAAGAACAGAAGAAGGTCAGGCTTGGCCGCGATCTCTACTCCGATCGTCAACCTTTTCCTCTGTTCAACGTTCAACCCCTCACCCAAAACCCCGACAATGGCTTCTGCGTAAGCTTCCATGTTGAGCATTTTGATTACCTCCTCCACGTACGCAAGCTTTTCTTTTCGCGGTGTCGTAGCTGGCTGACGAAGCAGTGCGCTGAAAACAAGGGCTTCCCGCACCGTGGT